GCAGCATCATCATCAGCATGATCATCATCAGCAGCAGCAACATCAGCAGCAGCAGCAGAATCAGCATCAGACTCAGCATCTGCATCAGCAGCTGCCGTATCAGAAACATCCTCATCATCAGCATCGTCATCGTCATCATCACCATCATCATCATCATCATCATCATCATCATCATCATCATCATCATCATCATCATCATCATCATCATCATCATCATCATCATCATCATCATCATAAGATCAGCAGCATCATCATCAGCAGCAACAGCATCATCAGCAGCAGAAGCACCAGCAGCAGCACCATACCACCACCATAATCATCAGCAGAAGCAACAGCATCATCATCAACATCATCATCATCACCACCAGCACCATTACCACCACCACCACCATCGTCATCATCATCAGCATCGTCAGTATAATCGTTATCATCCTCATCATCCTTGACTACTACGATTACCACTATTACTACTACTACTACTACTACTACTACTACTACTACTACTACTACTACTACTACTACTACTACTACCACTACCACTACCACTACCACTACCACTACCACTACCACTACCACTACCACTACCACTACCACTACCACTACCACTACCACTACCACTACCACTACTACTACTACTACTACTACGACGACGACGACGACGACGACGACGACGACGACGACGACGACGACGACGACGACGACGACTACTACTACTACTACTATTACTACTACTACTCAGCATCATCGTCATCGTCAGCGTCACCATCACCAACAGCAGCAGCAGCATCACCATCACCATCACCATCAGAATCGTCATCGCCATCGGCATCATGATGCGGCTATGCAAAAACGGCTGGGTCTCACGATTTGAAGGATACCTGCACCGAAGTGAGCCCCAGCAGGGTTGTCCGATACCCCAGAATCGACTGGACCCGCAGGGACGGTCCGCAGTGGGTCGCGGAAGAGACGGCAATGACCGAACCGACCCCCCCCCCAGGGAGGGGCCAAGGTGAGGAAAGGCAGGGGCCGGTTCTGGTCTGCGCGCCCTCATCGGCACGCCTGGGCTGGGCCTATACATGGAAGACGGTCGCCCGCTCAGGTGGGGCGGGAGCTAGCCGCGGGAGCAGCAGGACTTCTGCCCACGGCCCAGACAGCGCACTCGGGCGACTTGCCCATGAGGTGGGCGCACGAAAATTGTAACGGTGCAGCGCGCAGCACCTAAGCAAAGATGATTATGTCTAGCAGTAGGCCGGCACACCATGCGCCCCAAATTAGAGCGCCACTGAGGGGCTCCACCCCAAGGCTTCCCTGAGGGCATCGACAACGCTACCAGGATCGATGCAGCCACCACGCCTACGGGCGTCGGAAACAGATGGCGAACACTCGTGCTAGATCAGAATCCTCCCTCCCCCACGAAGGAACGTGGCGGGCAATCTCATTTGCACTTCGCCGCGGCCGTCCCCCGACACGCCAACTTGCAATTTCGGTGGAGACGGGGGGGTCCTTGATATTTCCCGCCTATCGTAGCACTGAGTCACGCCGCCCCCCGCCAGCAAAAATCCTGCGTTCCAAATTGTCGCTCAGTGTTTGTTTTAGTTGTTTCCAATTGCGGCGGCGCAGAGCCATTGCTCGCGATGGCGACGCGCGCAGTCTTGGCGCTGTTCGGAGAGCTATCTGGAGCACACTGGGCCGCGAAATGCCACAAATCGTCCCCAAAATTGTGGCCCAAATCCGCCACCGTGCCGCTGGGTTCCGAGGGGGCTGCCCTCGGGTCTTTTGCCGAACCCCTTCAACACTCCTGAGGAGTCTTGAAAGGGCCCGGAAACCAAATTCTTAAATCTCCCGGGGCTTCTCGCGTCCCCCCCGGGGCTTCTCAAATCTTCTCGCGCGACTTGTGCGGTTCCAAGAGGGGCCCAAGACGGGCCAAGAGGGCCCCAAAAGGCCCCCAAGACGGGCCAAGAAGGCCCCAAGTCGCCGAGCCATCGCACCAAGAGCCCAAGATAGTCCCAAGACGCCCCAAGAGAGCCCCGCGGCCCAAGAGGGCTCCAAGATGACCTCAGAGGCGCCCAAGACTGCCCAAGAGGGCCCAAAGACAGCCCCAAGAAGGGCGCCAAAGGGGGAACACGAACCGAAGATCCGAGTCCTCCGCCCCAAGAGGCCCCCAGGAGGCCACAAGGCGGGCCCAAGAGACCCACGCCCCAAGACGGCACCTGAGAGGCCTCAGCACAGCCCCCAAGAAGCACCCGAGAGACCTCCCGCGACGTCACAACGAACATCCTCGAGGCCTGTGACTCCCTATCCCGGGCACGGTGGCGGGATGGGCCGAAGGCCATTAAATCCGCCGCCCCCTGTCGATTCATCGCAGGGACCCAAAATCCTCCAAGACGGCTCAAGATGGCGTCCAAGATGGCCACGTTGGCCCAAGATGGCCTCCAAGATGGTTCAAGATGGCCTCCAAGTCCGCCCAAGATGGTCCAAGACTGCCTCCAAGACGGCCCAAGAGAGTCCAAGACGGCCCAAGACGGCCCAAGAGGCCCCCCAGAGGCCTCCAAGACGGCCCAAGAGGCCTCCAAGAGGTCCTCCAGGAGGGCCCGATGAGGCCAAAATCATTGATTTGCCATGGGTTTTTGAAGGATTTGGGGATTTGCTTCTTCTCGGCATTCCGACGGCTCAAGACGGTCCAAGAGGCCCCCAAGATCGCCCAAGAGGCCCCCATGACGGCCCAAGTGGCCTCCAAGACGGCCCCAAGAGGGCCCCAAGAAGGCCCAAGAGGCCTCCAACACGCCCAAGATGGCCTCCAAGACGCCCAAGATGGCCTCCAAGACGGCCCCGAAGCGCCCCAAGAGGGCCCCAAGTCGGCCCAGAAAGGCCCCCAAGACGGCTCCCGACGGCGTCAGACGTGCCAGGAACCCACCAAGATGGCCGAAGTTGGCTCAAAGCTGGCCCACGACGGCCCAAGAGGCCTCCAAGAAGGCCTCCAGGAAGGCCAGAAGAGGCCAAAAACATCGGTTGTACCTGAAGTATTTGACGGATTTTGACATTTGCTTCTTCTCGGCCTTCCGACGGCCCGAGACGGCCCCAGAGCCCCCAAAGATCGCCGAAAGATCGCCCAAGAGGCCTCCAAGATGGCCCCAGAACGGCCCAAGAGGGCCCCAAGACGGCCCCAAGAGGCCCCCAAGACGGCACAGGAGGCCTTTAAGACGCCCAAGATGGCCTCCAAGACGGCCCTGGAGCCTTCCAAGAGGGCCCCAAGTCGGCCCATAGAGGCCCCCCAAACGGCTTCCGACGGCGTCAGACGGACCAGGAGCCCACCAAGACGGCCGAACATGGCCCTAAGATGGCCCAAGACGGCCCAAGAGGCCTCCAAGAGGGCCTCCAGGAAGGCCCGAAAAGGCCAAAATCATTGATTTGCCATGGGTTTTTGAAGGATTGTGGCATTTGCTTTTTTTCTGCCTTCCGACGGCCCGAGACGGCCCAAGTGCCCACAAAGATCGCCCAAGAGGCCCAAGACACGGCCCCAAGAGGCCCCCAAGACGGCCCAAGAGGTCTCCAAGACGCTCAAGATAGCCTCCAAGACGGCCCAAGAGCCCTCCAAGACGTCCTCCAAGAAGGCCCGAAAGGGTCAGAATGGCCTCCAGACGGCCAAGATGACCTTCAAGATGCCCACGTGTTCCCCGAAGGCTTTCCAAACCGATTCGGGGAACACATGGTCCGATAGCTTGGCAGGCCTCTGGCCACAACCTTCGGCCACATAGGCGCTTCCAAAAAGGCAGGGGGCGGCGGTGATTCGCCGTAGGCGTCTTCAATTTAGGTCGGGCAGGTCCCCCTACAGGCGGATTTTGAAGGAAGCATAACACATAGTCAAACAAAGTAGTCGAAAATCGCCCCCAGGCTATTTTTCGCTATTTTTGAGCAGTCCTCCTGTAGAGTTATGTTGTTCCCATCGTACTTAAGGACCACATCCCAGAAATATGTTCGGGCACCCCGAATAGTATTGAAACAATGTCTGCCTGACCCGCTGGCGAGGTGCCGAACGAGCATCTCCTCCCCAGGCCCGACACGCGAAAACCGTCCAGTGCCGATGCTTGCTTGGTGCTCGAGATTCTTTCTGGCGATCAAGGAGGCTAAAGTAAGTTGGACCATCATAGCTGTAGGGGGACGCGCCCGACTCAAATAAACATAACGCTCCCCCGAGCGGTGCGCGGCCGCCGCGCGTGCGCCCGTGGGTCGGGCGCCCCCGCTGGGCCGGGGCCCTCCCTCTGTTCAAGGGGGCGAACCATGTGGGGCGAACGTGTGGGGCGCCCTGGTGGGCGTTGTTTTACTCGGCGTTTCGACATCGGGCGGCAAGGGGGGGAGGGGGGGGGTCTGGCTCCAGACCTCTGCTTGGTGCAACTGTTTGCAAGAGTGCTGCCCCTGGGGGGAGACTCCACCCACTCGAAACAGGCGTCAAAAAACAGCCAAGATCTACTCCATAGTTGGGGGAGGGGTTTGGGGGCCCGCGCCGATCGGCAAAACCATTTTTAAAAAAAAACACATTCATGGTGGGTATATTTTCCGCCGCCACCACCATAAGTAGGAAGGGGGAGGGGGTCATCCTCTCCCTCCTCCTCCTCCTCTCCATCCTCATCATCCTCCACCTCCTTCCCCCCTCCAACTCATGGTCGTGGTGGTGGTGGTGGATAAGAGGCCCATCAATTCAGGGCACGGTTTGGGGCGCAGGTTTGGGACGCAATTCTCGGGCGGGCAAGTGGGGACTCCACGAACTTCCTCTCGTCCCCAAGCCAACCATGAGCGCTTCCATCGCCGCAGAACTGCACCCTCCCCCATGTCTCTCTCTCTCTCTCTCTCTCTCCACACGAGTAGGTGTGTTCGACCACTTGAACTATGACTGTTCGGGAACAGCTCAGCAGCACATGCTTGGGGGAACTTCGCCAGAGTGGGTACGGGCGTGGACCGAGCTGAGCTGCAGCTCCACGGCTCCGCGGACAGAAGATAGCATCCTACTTCGGCGCTTTCTCTGCCGTCCGCTCCGGAATGGGCCTCAGGCGCTCCTCCAGGAACGCTCTCGCCTCCGCGACGGACCGCTTCTCGGGCCCGAAGCTCACGAGGTGCTCGGCCGCCCACCTCCACGCACCATCTGGGTCGAACGACTTCCGGATGAGAAAGTTCAAGCCGATGTCAAAGAAGCCGCAGCGGTCAAAGACAACGGGGTCGTGCTCGGCATACTTCTCGAGGTTCTTCAAGAACAAGAACGGCAACTCCGTCCAGTGACAAGACGGGTGGACGTGGTGGGTTATGTGGTAGCCGTCGTTGAATGCCACCTGATTGTCAAAGTGGTTGAACACGTTCAGGGTAAGGGCGCAGTTGTACCTGTAGGAAGAGAGAAGATCGTCGCAATCTGCCACCAGAGGATGGACGAACATGTGCTGAGACCAATTCCCAAACATGAGCGCAAAACTTGAAATAATTGCGGGCAGAGTGAACTGGTAGAACGCGTAAATACCGTGACCGCTCTGCCTCAGTAACAGCTGAGCGGAGACCCAGATGAATAAACCAAGGACGCAATCTCTGCATGTTTTCCACTGCTGTCTGCGACTTGCCCAGAGAGGCAAGACAATCGTAAGACGCCAGAACATCGCCCAGTAGTGAAGGAAATGAGCAAAGCTGTCTCGCTGGTAGGGCTCAGTGGAGCTCAGGTCCTTCTCAAACATATTGTTTTCCTTGTGGTGCATCATAATGTGATGGGTTCTGTAAAAACCCACCGGTATGCCTTGGCGATGGGCGGATGGGGGAGTGGCGAGGGGGCGGCCTTGCAAGAAGTCAAGGAGACCTCTTAGAGGGGACCGGAGGCTTCTAACAAGACTTCTCAGAAGAAGACACATAAAATTCTACGAAGACCCGTGCCTTCTTACAAGGCCACCTCCACCGCACCATCCTATTCCGCGCCGCCGAATGCCGTAGAAAGGCGCCACGATCCACGGCATCAAATACCGGAGAAAGCCTGAAGCGATGTCCGACTTGAACAATGGATCCGCTGACGCTTTCCAGCGTCAGGCGCACGTCAAAACCCAGGAATTCGGTCAACCCAAAACGGGGTCCAGCTGAAAGGGGATGGTGCAATAGATTTGGGGCAATTGTGTTGCAAATGCATTGCGCCGGAAACTTGGATTGCATTGTATTGCGACGAATGTATTGCACGCGAAAATCCAGCAATACATGTGCGCCTGGGAATGTAGTACACGTCCCAACATGTGTTGCAACCCCACAAATCTATTGCACCAAATCTATTGCACCAGCCCCTTGTCGCTGGACCCCCTTTCGGGTCAACTCGAACGAAGACGTAAATCTTGCTTCTGCCCGTGTTTGATCCGGACTCCTCCTCGCGAAATGGACTCTGCAGGCCACATGCTAAGAGCCCCTCCGCGTTCCAACGCCAGCGAACACTCCGCCTGAGCGCCAAATATCCGAGCTCCCTGGGGCTCGCAAAATTGACGGGGCCCAGGGACACACGAATAAATACACACATCTCTCTGCATTCCCCAAATTTTACCTGCCTTTCTGGTTGTCATCTTTTCCTGGTAGTCGACGATCAATTACGTCTGTGCGCTTTTCCCCCTCCTGAAACATAAACTGCCGCTGCACAACCTCTGGGCCGTCCAGGAGGGCTGGGAAGCCGGGCAAGGGCTGCTAAATCCGTGGTTGCTAAAATCGACCTCCGGGAAGTTGTCTTCGTCTTCCGGAAAGAAGCCCGTTGACTGTTTCGCGTGCCGCGCCTCATTCCGGGAAGTTGTGTTTTCCTTCCGGGAGGGCCGTTTTAGCAGCCACGGTTTTAGCAGCCCTCGCCCAGCTTTCGAAGGGCAGCCCCTGCGGCCAGGAAAGAGGCCACCAGGCCGACGGTGGCCCAGGCGGCCCCAAGACGGCCACAACACGGCCAAAGACGTGCCAGAGAGAACTCTTACAGTCGAAACGTTCATTAAGGACGAGTGGTGAGGACGCAAGACCCTTGGAGGCCGAAGTTGGATTTTTGGGGCGGGGGGCGGCCATTGAAAACGGCGAAGGAAGGGCCGCAGAGGCAAGGACTCAAGGGTACCCTAGATGAAGGCACGCGTCCTTACTAGGCGCGTTGACTGTAGACTGCTCGAGACCAGACCAAGAAGCCCCAACAGAAACCCCCTGGGACACGCCACATGGCCCCAAAACAAGCCTGAGACGACCCCGAGCACAGACAGCTGGATACCTCAGCTGAGGAAGTCCGCCCTGTTGCTGATGAATGGTACGGTCGATGACTTCAACGATTGTTGCTGTAGTGCGCTGGCGTCTGCTCCAATGGCGCATAATTCGCCGCTGGTCTTCTCCGGCGCTTCGATACGAAAAGCTACGAAACGGTCCTCGGCTGGCTGTGCAAACGAAGCTTCCGGCCGCACAACAGAAGCACATACGGGAACTGTAGGTCATTACGAGACCGTACATGTTGGGCCGTTTCTTTTGCAGAAGTAAAAGGGAAAAGAGAGAGAGAGAGAGAGAAAGATATATATATATATATATAGAACAAAGAGAGAGAGAGAGAGAGAGAGGGAGACAACGCTGAGCCCAAATACACTGACGGCGAAAACGATTGTGTGTGGATCGGCCGGCTCGGTCAGATACAATATGTGACAGCTTGCGGGCAGGACAACACAGCTGCCACCGAGATACCCCCGAAAAATTAGCCTGACGAAGGACCCAACCAAATGCAGCTGCGAATGCCGCATTGTGGGTACCGCCTTCGGTGGAGCTCCCTATGGGGCCACGAAACGTGCGAGTGGTGTGCCAAAATTGGTGGCGCGGAGGCATGTGGACACCGCCACTGGGGCCTTCGGTGGAGATCCCTATGGGGCCACGAAACGCTGTCCTGGGTGGCGCTGACGAATGCGGCCTGTGCCACTGGAGACATCGGTGGAGCTCCCCATGGGGCCACGAAGCGCTGTCCTGGGTGGCGTTGACGCGTGCGGCCTGTGCAACTAGCCTTCGGTGGAGCTCCCTATGGGGTCACGACACGCTGTCCTCGGTGGCGTTGACGCATGCGGCCTGTGCCACTGGAACCTTCGGTGGAGCTCCCTATGGGGCCACGAAACGCTGTCCTTGGTGGCGTTGACGCGTGCGGCCTGTGCCACTAAAACCTTCGGTAGAGCTCCCTATGGGGCCACGAAACGCTGCCCTGGGTGTAGTTGACGCATGCGGCCTCTGCCACTGGCGCTTTCGGTGGAGCTACCCATGGGGGCACGAAACGCTGTCCTGGGTGGCGCTGACGCATGCGGCCTGTGCCACTGGAGCCTTCTGTGGAGCTCCCTATGGGGCCACGAAACGCTGTCTTGGGTGTCGTTGACGCATGCGGCCTGTGCCACTGGAGCCATCGGTGGAGCTCCCTATGAGGACACGAAACGCTGACCTCGGTGGCGCTGACGCCTGCGGCCTGTGCCACTGGAGCCTTCGGTGGAGCTCCCTATGGGGCCACGAGGACGCTGTCCTGGGTGACGTTGACGCGTGCGGCCTGTGCCAATGGAGCCTTCGGTGGAGCTCCATCTGGGGCCACGAAACGCTGTCCTGGGTGGCGTTGACGCATGCGGCCTGTGCCACTGGAGCCTTCGGTGGAGCTCCCTATGGGGCCACGACACGCTGTTCTTGTGTGGCGTTGACGCATGCAGCCTGTGTCACTGGAGCCATCGGTGAAGCTCCCTATGGGGCCACGGAACGCTGTCCTGGGTGTCGTTGACGCATGCGGCCTGTGCCACTGGAGCCTTCGGTGGTGCTCCCTATGGGGCCACGAAGCGCTGTACTGGACGGGTGAAACGCAGGGAAGTGACGAGGCGGATGGGAGAAGGGAGGAGGGGAGGAGTACGAGAGGAGAGCAGTGACGCGGGGCCCTGTCTCTTCAGAACGAGGACCCAACACCACAAGATGGTTGAGAAAAAACCAGACGGCTTCTTGGAACCCCCAGAGAGCCCATCAGAGGTCCCGAAAAGGCCCCCATACGACCCTACGACCGGGCTTCCCGTCCTCCGTCCCTCAACAGGGGGGGATGCTGAGGGAGCGCCCCTTGTGCCACTGTGACAGACAAGCGAAACTGTCACGGGCATGTGACATATCCAACTTACGAAGTGACTGTTTGCTTGGCTGCCAGTGCAGCTCTTGGCGAGCGGCGTGTGCTCTTCGAACCAGCGCTCATCTGCCCAGTCAGAGCGCACGGCAAGAGCAGCAGCTCCCCCCCCGGGCCACCAAGCGAGCAAGCATATGCCCGAGAAGCTATCGGCGAGCGTTGCGCTCACCCCCAAGTTCTCCTCGTTCTGACCTTCCTCATCCGCCTCCGAGGAGAAGTCGATTAATGGAGGGAGGAAGCATGTTGTCAAATAATTCCCAGGTGTCTGAAAATGCTGAAACCTTTAGATATGGTAAAAAAACGATTGAAGCATGTTTAGAACATGCTTTACACATTTTAGACACATGTTTAATTCAATGACATGATTGTTAGAGTGGTTCGGGGGACTCGGGTTGGCCCGACGGGGCCGTCAGGAAAGTGACGATGCCCAGCCTGAAATCTGACGCAAGCTCCCGCTGCAAGCATCCCACGAGAGCTGGACCGCCAGAATCCAGGACGGGCCCGTCCGAAAACGTCGGCAAACCCGAGCTCCAGCGTGCCCGAGTCTCCGGTGCACCGCCAGAACATGGCCATCTCCACTGCTGCGGGGTCGTGCTCCGAGGACTCGGGGGGCGGCGGATGTGGACATCTGCCCGCCGACGCGGGCGGGCAGACAACCATGTTCACCGCTCCTCGAGACCCCGTGGCACGACTCCGAGGCGGTGGATGTGGATAGGTTCTGGCGGTGGATGACGTCTCCCCGATCCTGATCTTCCTCACCCCCCTTCCCGCTGCAAACATCCCGCGAAGACTGGACCGTCAAAGGTCAGGACGGGCCCATCAGAAAACGTCGGCAAGCCCGAGTTCCGGGGAGCCCGCGAGTCT